CCACTCTCTCCACTGGGGTGCCATTGATCTTAAGGGGGTGGTAGCTCCTCTCCTGCTTCGCGTTGAAGTCCACTATCAACTCCTTTGTCTTGCTGACATTCAGGAGGAGGTTGTTCTCCTGGCACCAGTTTTTCAAGCTTTTAATCTCCTCTAGGCCTTCTTGTCATTATCAGATATCAGGCCCACCACAACAGTGTCGTCAACAAACTTGACAATGGTGGTAGAGTTAGAAATGGCCACACAGTCATAAGTGTACAATGAGTACAGCAGGGGTTCAGGACACAACCCTGGGGGCACCAGTGCTGAGGGTGAGGGAGGGGGAAAATGTAGACCCTTTTTACTCCAGTGTTCTCTAATTTTTGGCCAGCAACCACTAACATATTCCACTGCTGAAGCTAAGATTTCTTACCTGATGGGGCTTTTAAGGGGTAATGCATGGCTATCTTAAACAGCCAAACTGCTATATCTGCTTGATATTCCTCTTTCACAGAAGAGCTTAGGAAGGCATTTGACCATCCTGTTCAGGGAAAGGAGGCCACCAAGCGTTTATTCTCCCTTCATCAAACCTCCAGTGTTGCTGAGTCAAATTCAGAATCATAGCTGCAGAGTCCGACTGGAATGATGAGGCTCTCCAGGGGATGTTTTGAGTGGACTCAGTGATTAGGTTAAGCATGAACTAGCAGTTAAAGATGAAACCATGAAACCAATTACCTTGACTCACTTATTTCCCTTGCCAACAAACTCCAGCCATCTGCAATCCTCTACTTCCCAACTTTCTTCTTTGACCCTTGCTAATACAGCCATTGGACAGCCACCCAGTCCCTGAGCCTCTTCCATCTTCACTCTTTCCAGGGAAGAGCCCATGCAGTTGGGTCAGGCCTGGCTTACCCCAGCAGAACGTCACCAGAGATTGAAAGGGAGTGAGTGTATTTACTGTGGTCAGCTTGGTCATTTCCTTGCCACTTACCCAATTTGGTCAAAAGAGGGGGCTCATGATGAGGGGCTACTGGTGAGACAAACTACGTAGAATAAATACCCCTTACCTCTCATCAACTTGGCCTTCCAACCTCTTCAGTGCGCTACGATCTTCACCAAGTTGGACTTGAGAAATGCTTACCACTTGGTCAGAATTAGAAAGGGAGATGAGTGGACCAGCCTTTAACACACCTCTCGGCCACTTAGAATACTTGGTCATGCCCTTTGGCCTCACCAATGGCCCAGCTGTATTCCAGGCTCTCATGAATGACATCCTCAGAGACTTTCTCAACCACTTTGTCTTCGTGTACCTGGACAATATCCTTATCTTCTCTCGCACCTCCTCTGAACACACCATCCACGTCCATCAGGTTCTTTAAAGACTGCTGGAGAACAAACTGTTCATAAAAGCAGAGAAGTGTGAGCTTCATATCAACTGTCAGCTTCCTGGGCTACATAATTAATAGCGGACAGGTGAAGTCCGACCCTGAAAAGATCTGGGCAGTGGCTAAGTCAACCATCAAATCAATCAACCTTGAACAGTTACAACATTTCCTGGGCTTTGCTAATTTCTATCACTGTTTCATCAGGGATTACAGCCATGTTGATGCACCTCTCACCAGACTCACATCTTCCTCCACTCCTTTTGTTTTGGAACCTGAGGCAGATAATGCTTTCGCCAAGCTCAACGAACTATTCACCTCAGCCCCTCCAGCCAGATCCCTCTCAGCAATTCATTCTCAAAATGGATGCCTTGGACTCAGGTGTTGGAGAGGTTCTGTCCCAACATTCATCTCTGGACAAAAGACTTCTTCCTTGTGCCTTCTTCTCACACCACCTGTCCCCAGCTGAACAAAACTATGATATGGGGAACCATGAGTTGTTAGCAGTCAAGCTAGGCCTGGAAGAAGGCCTGACTCTGTGCATTCCCAGTTCCTCCAGTGGGGTCATGCATCTCGGTTCACCTGCCACCCTGGTGCCAGTTGCACCTTAGATCTTCTGAAATGACACTTCCAATCATGGATGCGGGCACCCAGGCCTTTGTCTTTGCCTGCTCGGTGTGTGCCTGTGGGAAAGCTTTGTTCCTTGCCTGTTCCCAGTTGCCCCAGATCACAAAGCACACTCAACTTTGTTAGCAGACTGTCTATATCCCAAAGTACCATCCTCACTATTGAGGACCGCTTCTCCAAGGCAGTGTATTTTGTGGCTCTCTTTAAACTTCCCACAGCCTGTGAGACTGCTGATCAGGAGGTCAATCACGTGTTCCACCTGCATGGAATCCCCCTGGATATCTTCTCTGACTGTGGTACCTAGTTTATCTCACAGGTTTGAAAATCTTTCTGTCATGCCCTCAGTGCCTCTGTGAGTTTGTCCTCTGGTTTCCACCCTCAGACTCAGCGCTTCGATGTGTCACTGCCAGTTACCTCTCATCCTGGAGCACTTAGCTTGCCTGGATAGAATACACTCACATCTCCCTGTCCAGCGCAGCTACCAGTATATCCCAGTATACCAGTATATTGAATGTTCTCTGGGTTATCTGCCTCTCCTGTTTCCTGTCCAGGAGAATGACATCGCTGTTCCCTCTGTCCAAGCTCACTTCCATCATTGCCACAAGATTTGGAGAGATGCCTACTCTGCCCTGCTCTGTTCAGATGACCACAACTGCCGCCTTGCTGACCGCCATCAGACCCCAGCACCTAATTACCAACCTGGTCAGAAAATTTGGCTTTCTTCTAAAGATATTCCACTAAAGATTAATTCAAAGAAACTCTCCCCTCACTACCTGGGTCCTTTTGTATTCAAAAGCATCATCAACCCCTCTGTCATGAGACTACCTTGAAAATACACCCTTGAAAATACACCCTTCTTTCCATGTTTCTCGGCTAAAACTGGTCCACGTCAGCCCAATGAGACGGGGGTACTGTCATGATCTTGGCGAAAGCTCCATTTTTTTTTCCTGTTTCCTTTCTCTGTTTTCCCTTTTTTTCCTGTTTCATTTCTCTGTTGTCCCTCCCTCTCTTCCTATTTGTTTGTGTGTCCTTCAGCATGATGCTCCACTATGCTCATCTGCCTGTTTGAATCATTGAACGCATCTGCTCCTCATCATCTCTTCATCCTGCAGCACTTAAAAACCCCAGTTCTCCAGTCACTCATTGCCAGATCATCTACCTGTGTGGATGCTAAGGCCTTCTCATGTTTTTGCTCTGCCTTTTGCTTCCTCATGCTTTGCCTTTTATGTAACCCTGTCTCTCCTGTGCTCCACGTCCACTTCTCACCCTGCCTGCTTGCACTTCTCTACGCCCAACCTTGCCCCCCAACCTTGCCCTCCACCCTGTGGCTCATGGAATGAGTGTCTGACTCTCGTGCCCCCAACCCAAGTTTGAGTCCCAGCCTTAGCAGCTACACCAAGCCATGCTTGTACTCCAAAACTCCCAGCCTTACTTCACTTCTCCCCATGGATCACTGTCAGAGCATCTGACTCTCATGCTGCAGACCTAAGTTTGCACCCTGGCCTCAATAGAAACACCAAGCCATCAGTTCTCCCACCATCTCTACCTTCATTTATCTTTCAGTAAAACCCATTTAACTTTTTCTCCCTGAGTCTGAGTTCTGCTTTTGGGTCCACAACAGTCACTGTTCATAACACTGTTTTACTTCCCTGTCACAATTTCCTGCAAAACAACCTTTTAAATCTGTGGGTTTAAACTGCAATCCACCGATTTTGTAAGAGGTTTTCAACACAGTGCTCACACAAACACATAGTATGTACCGTGATTTTATATGATTGACGCCAGTATATTTGTCTATTTCAAGCTTGTTGATAAGCATGATGTCCTATACATATTCTGCATAATTACACAGAGCAGAGCATAATCAGGTCTTTAACTCAACTGATGGCTGAATTAAAGCTCAAAGCTCAAGCAGACAGAAAACAGCAGTTAATGTTCAAAGAGCAGTTAAGAAAGGTGCAATTATTACTGACCATTTAACAAAGGCCTGCATTTTTCCTGCACACAAATATTACAATGCTGCTGTGCTCATGAATTAGAACAACCTTGAAATTTAGATATGGATTGATAACATGAACAGAGTCGGCATATGATTGTTTATGTTTTATGGGGTTGCTTTTACAGACCCTCTTTCCAATTTAATTTGCAAAAGCCAGTGATCTTTCTTTATTGTTGATACTGTGTTTTATTCTGTGCAAAAAAATTACATTAAAATAACTGGGTGAAGACTGTGGAGTTTACTAGACTAGTTCACTAAAGAGTGTGTTTGTAAGAAATAGAAAGAACGTTCCAGTCAGGGGACATATTGTGTAGGTGTTGCTCCAGATAAGAATGGTGTGCAAGTGGGTGTATGCCAAATTTACAGCTCAACACTGTACTCTGGCATCCTTCCATTGGCTCCTGATTTTTGCCAAATGTGACTGACCAGACGTCTCCCACAGGTAAATCCACCATCAGCCTGCTCAGCGTCTGGGTGCATTGCTGTCACACACAGACACACCCACAAGTCCCAGACAGCCCCAATCCTTCCATTACTTGCATTAGTAAGACACACACACACACACACACACACACACACACACACACACACACACACACTTACAAGTGTGGCCACATGCAGCCTGCGATAGAAACCTGAGAACTGAGCAGCTGCTGTTCAACTCGCAGCAATACATCAGCAGAAGAGCAATCTCTTCATTTTGGGTAACAATTTTTTTCATTTTTTGTCAGTAAAACACTATAGTACTGTTAATAAAAATACAGTGAACCTGTTGTTTATAAATTTCACAGTATTTTACAGTTAACTGACATTTAAAATACATCAGATAGCTGTATTTTACAGTATTTTATAAATATTTAGTTGTTTATATATACAGTGTAGTGACAAGTTATTACTGTAAATGTGTATTGGAATACACTGCCTAAGATTACAGAGAATTTTGCTAACCACGCACACACAGACCCACAAACCTTCAGAAAATGTTCTGCCTAAGGTTATTTGCATAAGGGGCCTTAGGCAGTGGTGGCTCAGTGGTTAAGGCTCTGGGTTACTATTCAGTAGGTCAGGTGTTCAAGCCCCAGCACTGCCAGGCTGCCACTGTAAGGCCCTTAACCTGTCTTGCCCCAGGGATGCAGTGTCATGGCTGACCCCAGCTTCCTAACAAGCTGGGATATGCAAAGAAAGGAATTTCACTGTGCTCTAATGTATATGTGATAAATAAAGACTAATACTTTGTTGAAGCACCTTTTGATTTTATTACACCACTCAGTCTTTTTGGCTAAGTGTCTAACAGCATGGCAAATCTTGACTTGACAATATTTTCCCATGCTTTCTTCCAAAAACATTCTACATCGATCAAATTGTGAGGGCATCTCCTGTGCACAGCCTGCTTCAGGTCACCCCACAGATTTTTAGCTGGATTCAGGTCCGGGCTCTGTCTAGGCCATTCAAAAACATTGATCATCTTTTGGTTAAGCCATTCCTTTGTTGATTTGCATGTATGCTTTGGGTCGTTGTCGTGCTGAAAGCTGAAATTACTTTTGATCTTTAGCTTGCTAGCAGACACCTGAAGGTTTTGCACTAAAATTGACTAGAATTTTAGCTATTCATGATTCTCTCTGTCCTGGCTGAAGAAAAGCAGCCCTAAAGCATAATGCTGCCTTCAACGTGGCTATGGTGTTCTTTTGGTGATGTGCTTTTTTTTTTCACCAAACACATAACTTTTGGAATTATTGGAATTATTATACGTTTTGGAATCGGTCTCATCAGACCATAACACATTTTGCCACATGGTTTGGGGTGATCTAGTTGAGCTTGGGCTTCCGTCTAGCCACCCTACCAAATAGCCCAGACGTGAAAAATATGAGAGTTTGTTGTCACATGCAGAGAGTAATCAGTACTTGTCAGATGTTCCTGCAGCTCCCTTAATGTTGCTGTTGATCTCTTGTCTGTTTATAAATTTTGGAGGGACGTCCTGTTCTTGGTGATGTCACTGTGGTGCTCCATTTTCTCCACTTGTTGATGATGGCCTTCACGGTGTTCCATGGTACATCTAATGTTTTGGAAATTCTTTTATACCCCTCCCCTGATCAATACCTTTTGTCAACAGAGATACCGTACAGGCTTTGTCAGCTCTTTGAGGCCCATGGCTTCAGCAGTCAGATGAAACCAAGAAGATGTGAAGAAAATTCTACAGAAACAGCTGATCTTTATTTGGGGTTAATCATAATCATTTCATTGATGACAACTGTATGATAATTAATTTTGAACATGGATATGATTGGTTCATTCTGAACACAGCCGCATCCCTCATTTCAAAAAAGAGTAGCAGAGTATAACAGACTATGCTCTCTTTTTTTTTTTTATTGTACATACTCTGCTGCTCTTTAAGAAATACTGCACCAACCACATTCCAATATTGTATTGTATTTGTTCTATTTGTATTTATTGTAATTATTGTCTAGTCACTTTTCTTAAAGAGTGTGTTTTTTATGTGTTCTTTATGTGTTCTTTTCTGTTGTATCTGTGCTTTAGGGAGTTTCCAGAGCCTCATCACAAGCATTTCAATGTACACTTGTCTCTGACATACTGTGCATATGACAAATAAAATGACTTGGATTAGCTTTTAAACTAAACTAAATGAAATCCAACCAGGGACAAGGTACTGTTATGTATATTTGGAAGATGTTGGACATTAGATTTTAATTTATTGTTTAAAATAGTAATTTAGTGAATTTTCTACATGTCCCCAATGACGTATATGCAGTATCTTTTATAGAATTTTATGTTCTGCTCCATCCAGACAAAAAACAGAAGGTGAATCAGTCTCCAGCTGTTTGGTACTCATTGAATAGTCAATTAACTTTCTTCCGACTGAGAACAGCATCCAAACATAGAATAAATTGCAGGTTGAATCTAATCTCAGCTGAGCACACCTCTAGCCCTCTGCCAGGTACAACAATCCATTTGGAAATAGCAAGTATATTGCAAATACTGAATATCTGATTAGATCCTTTAACTGTCTTTACTGGCATGGGCAATTGAGATTTCATTGGTTAGCTAAAATAATAATAATAATAATAATAATAATAATAATAATAATAATAATAATAATATAGAGATATAGATACATATCAAGAAGCTATATTCCTAAATACTACTATACTGTGTGTATTGTGTGTGTGTGTGTGTGTGTGTGTGTGTGTGGATTTGTGCTCATAGCAAGGTGGATTAACTTTACATTATTTTACAGTTGGCTCACTGAATAGCTGCCACTCCTCATGCCTGAGCTGGTATTGTGCCTGTCTCAGCAGTAGCACTGTCAAGCTTCAGCTGTTAATCAGAATCTATGGCATAACATGCCTCTCAATGACATTAATGCATCGGCATTCTTTCATCAGGAAGAGGCAGGGAGCTGTGACAAATGTGAGAGTGTAGGGTTTCCAAAGAATCTCAGAAACATGACTGTCATCTTGTCCCACCTTACCCATGCACACACACACACACACACAAACACACACACACACACACACACACACACACACACACACACACACACACACACACACACACAAGCACACAGCCACAATTTAAGGCATTTCTGATATGTGACATTATTAATGACCAGATTTTCTACTGTTCTGTGATGAATGTCGATGATGAAGATCATCTCCAGTGCGAGATGTTTCATGATCAGAGATGCAAGATGAACAAGGCAATACAAATAAAGATTTATATTCAAAGGATAATATTGAGACATTCACACACTCGTTCACATAAGAATCACCAGTAGTGATAAATGCACAGATTTATTAAACAATGTCTACCTCCTGCTCTGTGTCACTGTGTGATTTTCAGCTGTAAGGAACCATCTCATCTCCTCCTAAATGGTTCTTTATTTTAAATAAAGAAAAATGGTTGAACTGGTTTGGAGTGATTTATGTTTTATGTTCGTCCTGCCGTCAGCCAGGTTGTGGCACAACACCTTGTTTTCATGCTATTGTCTGTATATTTGTAGTTTAAAAGTTTATAACAGTTTGTAAAAGACTTTGTTAACTTGCTTAAATTAGTCATAAAGTTTATATATATAACTTTATTATATAGTAATAAAGTTTTTAAATGATCATATAACCATAGAGAATGTGCATATTGTGATATTTGGCATTAATGTTTTCGAAAAGGTTATAGGAAATGTATGATTGATGATTATTATTTTTTTGTATATATTAGGTGTGTAAGTGAACACAAATATATTACTCATACTGAATAGATAATGTGTCCTAATATAGATATGTTGAGTATTCAGGTTTTTTTTTTAAAAAACTTGCCAGAAAACTTCAAACTAAGTGTCTAAGTCGAAACAAACAAACAAACAATCAAACAAAAATTGCTCAAGCACAATTAGATAGAAAATAGCAAGCTTTCCAAAAAGTTCCACAGGACGTCTGGTTCAGGAGGTGAATAAAACCTCCTCTCGGGCCGGGTCAGTCCTGGGTGTGGATAAAGTACCTTTATGAAGTGTGTGTGAAACTCTCTAAGGAATAAGACCTGACCTTCTTATGTGATTGTGACTGAAAGCTTTGGCCTGGTCACAGTCAGCACTCTGATTCGTCAGGTGCTTCTCACAACCTTGGGTTCTCAGTCTAAAGGATTTTAGCAGGTTGCTGTCATTTTTTTCTCTCTTTCTCCTTTCTGACAACTAATAAGTCCCTGTTCAGGACAACTGTCATGTGACAATGTACAAATAAAGCGCTATACAAATAAAACTGAATTGAATTGAACTAACACACCAGTACTGGTGTTCAGCTTTATTTCTTCATTACTATTTGTTATTTGAATTGAACTGATGATGAGGCCATCTTACAAAGAACAGTTTAGTTCTGAAACAAAACAGCTTCATTTTAATGTTTAACCCCTTAAACTCCTGGTTTATGCTGCATTGTAAGTGATGGCTTGTAAGTGATCATTTGCAGGTTGTAACGAAGTCACTTCCCACCTCGGCACATTCGACACGCGAACTGGAAAAAGCATGGACGCCTCCACGAAAGCTGTGTCTTTTGTTTGCTGTTTCAGAACAAAAAAGCTACTTTAACTGCACAGTTACAGGTCTGAGTGGCTGCTGGTTCTATCCTACTGTAGTGAATTTTGGACTGAAACTGCAGCACAGCAACAACAGCGGACAAAAGTGAGTAGCGAGTAACGTTAGTAATGTTGATGATTATCTTCTCAAAACAGTGATTAGTTGGTCAGTGTTACAGATTTAACCGAGTGCTGTGTCTGTATATTAACTGCTCTAAAGCCACTACTGCTATAAACTCATTTAACAGTACAGAAGATGGACTTTACGCTGTTCACTGTGAGAGCGGCCATGTTGATTTGATGTCATTTCATAAACAGGTAAGGAACTGGTAGGTCAGAAGACTACTCCAAGTCGACTAGATGAAATTTCTGTGGTGTTTACTGGTTGTAGGCGAGGAATTACAACTTTGCATTGTTTATCAGTTGTTCACCTTAAAGCATATTATTCAGTAGCTACAGTGAACTAACAGGAAAGGTGCACTGTAAAACCTAATGTTAAGTTTACTCAAATCAATTAATCAATTGCCTTAAACCATTTTTAGTTTCAAAATTGATGGCTTAGGTTACAGCTAATTTATAAAGTTTACTATTTGAGTTTACTTAACTTATTCTTTATTACACTTACTTAAATACATCAATACATCAAGTTTAAAGAACTAATTAAGTCAATTATGAAATACTTGTTTCTTTACAGATCTATGTTAAAAACAAGGCATGAGGCGGCATCACAACTCGCTGCTCCACCACGCTGCAAAAAGCAAAAATAAAAAAGCTGTAAACTATATTTGATGTGTCTTATTTTATTTGATTAATAGTCATGAACCACTCAAGAATGATCACACATTAAAGGTAAATGTTGTCACCATTTAGTCATGACAGTCATTTATCTGGACCTTTATAAGACAGGAATTTAATGAAACAAATTTTTTATCGAATACCTCTGGCCTTTATTGTTCACTATTTGAATTGAAGTTAAGTGGAAAAAACACACCAACAAGGATTTTTTTTTTT